CCCCTAAAAAAACACCTCACTCCAAAAAAACATGTTAATTTTTCTAAAAAAATATTTTTAAAAAAAAAATAGTCCCCACCGCCCCCCCCCCCCCCCCAGGAGTTTTCCATCTAAGAAAGTATTTTTCCGCATTAGAGTTTCTTAATCTATAATAACATTTAAAACGTAATAAAGTAATATTGAGCAAAAATAGTCTCTTTCTGAATTAAAAAGAATCACATGTCCGCTTGATCTATAGAAAAATTCCCACTGTATTCTTGAAGAGAAGAAAGTTTTCGTCTATTTTAATGTTTGAAAACACACCTACAGAGCCTTTTAAATTCTCTAAAACCAGATAGTCGAACAATGGTACTTGAGGTAGAAGTTCGGTATATTATGCTTTGTTGAGGTGCAAAGACATATACGTTTAAGTCATGGGAGTTATTTACTTGGTTTTTATGCATAAACCCATGATCTTCTAATTCTGAATCATCAGAAGACTTTGATTGTCTGAAAACGCAATCTCTATATCAAAATGTTTTGTTTGGTAATCAGAGGCATATGAGTGATCGCGTTTATGTGACATTTTTTTTTAAACCTTAATTCTCATCTCTCCAGTCCAATGGCCACTGAAATCGGGTTACCCCATTGCATCTGTGCCCAAAGGTACCGAGACAAGAAGCATTAGATAGCTTGTCCAAGGCTATCACGCGACCGCCGTTGCCGGGATTCAAACTTCGTATCTTTGAAGTACGTTGTCTGCCCACTAGTCGACTATGCCACGCTGTGAGAAGGTTATTTAGTTTAAATGGAACATTGAAGTGTATAATAAATCAATACTCTTCACTGATCATTAATAATGCTAGTTTTCGGTCAGAATCAGTAATAAAATTATTTTCGATTATTATTTTGTACCAATTCAATTAACAGTACGGTTAAAACCCTATAGGTTGTGAGTGTGTGTGCGTTTCTTTTTAAATCTTAAGGTTTTTTCTCAAAGTCATATTTTTAAATTAATTCTGTAGACACCGCTCCCTTTCAATCTAGACTAAATCATAAAATAATCAGCCCTATTAACCGTCAGGCTTCATTAATTTATCGAAATATATCCACACCCTTCAAAAACAATATGCCTCCCAGTACCAGAAGAAAATGAGAAAATACATGTCAAGAGAACCAGTTTAAGTTAAAATAATATCAGAAGGTATTCTAGTCTAAGAATGTTTAGTCTTGGTACATACCGTTGACCCCAAATCTGCGAGTGTGTCCTGCATAACGTATGTTTTAGTTTAAAAGAAAACAATTTTTGTTCGTAAACAGTGTCTACTATTCTGGGGTTCTTTGGATAATGAAATGAAATCACCAAATCTTACAAATATTCTATTTACTCAAACGTTTCTTTCTGCATCCTTGACAACACTATCAATTTTTTATTGCCGATTTATACAACAAGAGATTTTCGCACAATATCACACGCACAAATCCGATAAAAGTTCAAATTTATATTTATTTACTACCTTTCTTATTTGCAATATGTCACCTGCTAAAATTCTTTTTTTGGTGTTAAGAAATAAAACTATATAACACAGCAAATTTTTATTTCTTTTTATCCTTTTTTTCTTTGTTTTTATCAACAATAAATGCTTAAATAACTTTATGATATTCGAATTTTCTTTTTTTCTAACATGTAGTCTAATCTGTATCAGTCACACGTCTCACAATAATATTTCTCTCGCTTTCTTTTATTTTTTACACTGCAATCAAAGTCAAACCAAGCAGAACGATCAAACATATACATGCTGTATGTGGTTTAATATATAAAGCAAAATAGTTGAAGAAAAAAAAAATTTTTTTCCATTTCGATCTTTTTTTTTTCTTCTTTTATTAGTGATATATATACGTTTTTTTTTTGTACGTTTTCCAGATCATGTGAAGAAATTTTTGCTTTTTCAGATGACGATGCCGATAAGTTGTAAAACGAAAAAAAGTAAATGATATGTTTGTTAATATTCAGATTAATGTCAAAAGGATACTCATATCGTTTTCTTAAAAACAAGAAAAAACATGGCATCTTGTTTTTTTTTTTTATACCTTTTTGTATACTACCTACAAATTATAGAGAAAATGAAAACGTTTCACCATTTTATGTTTTATTCGAATTAGAGACATTATAATCACATCTTCTAGCTATTCGATTTAGAATTAAACAAAACTAAAACCCTATTGTATACGTATTTTAGTATTCTACTTGAAAATGAACAATGTATACTCAGTTTTTAAAATGAAATACATTTTAATTTAATTTAAATCGATTTCTATCTTATTTTTGTATATTTATTTAATAAACTGTTTTTTTTATAACAATTTTGAGCTCATCAAAATAGTCATTACAAAATTTCTTTATTTTTCTATTGACCATTAATTAGAAGCTTAGTTGGCCAAAAAAATGAATTGTTTTAGAATTGTATATTTTCTTTTTCATCATATATATGTGTATGTGTGTATAAAAATGCTTTTTTAAGGTCATTATTCCTGTGTAAATATTCTTCAAAAAGACTTAATTTAGAACTGATTTATATCTAGGATATTTTTTTTAGGCAAAAAAAAAAGAAAGATACATGTAAAATGAGTATATTAGATTAATTTGAATTCAAGAATATATTTTTTACTTTAAAATTTTTAGATTTTAGATGTAAGAGACAACTCTTGTAGATGGCAGTACAAGTTTTCAAAAATAACATACTATAAAAATTAGTAATGAAAGTAAACTTATAATCTCTCTAATTAACTTATTAAAAAAATAACAAATGAGTTTAAAACTCAATAATACTAATAGATAAAAAAACAAAATCTACTTTTTAGACAATTTATTTGACTTTTTTGCATGATAATCATTTAACAATAAAGAATTTGTGTCGTTAATCTGAGTACTATCAATTTGTAATGTTATCGGTATTTTATTTTTTCGATTAAGCGCAGTAATATCATCAAGGGCAGTGATAGCAGTCGATAATTCTTGTATTTTTTCATGTTTATGAATAGGCGTACCAATGTTACCATTAGATGGATTAATATTTTTCTTAAGTTCTTGTTTTTTTATTTTTGGTTGACGTTTTAAACATGTTTGACATCGATTTGGACAATAAATTGAAATAACTTCTAACCATTCAAATAATGTTTTACGATAGGGCGGTGATGTTATACCTAAAATGAAAAATAAAAAACATTTAGTTGTGGTTTTTTAAATATACAGTCAACAAGTACAAAATCAAGCCCGTCATTCTCTTCGACTTTGTTTAGATGATAATGTCAAGTTAAAGTTTTAATAAATAAAATAGGTCATTTGTATTAATATAAATTTTGCGTGTATTGTGACGTTCGTGTAGATTTCTCTTGTCCTCTAACTGGTATAGAATATTGCTCAATTAATATTTATTTAATAATAGTCAAAATAGTCTAAAAGACCCTTAATAATGATGTCAACTTCAGGCCATATTTTTTATATTGTTCAATTTCTTTAGCAGACAAACAATAATTTAATAGACACTATATTCAACTTCATTAGACTTTTCTTATTAGGTTAATTTAGTTTCAATTATTTTCAAAGAGTAAAATAACAACATATATCGACTTAAAAAACTACCATTTTTTTTAAACATTATCTACTTTATTATCTATCACGCTCGTCTTTTTTTTTTATTGTCCATCTGTTGTTGTTTCTATACGGTATTAAAACATATTAGTTTGAAAATATAGCGCTCATTTTATTGTTGCTATATAGAATTTGTAGTCATTATCTATTATTACTAAAGTCGTATCATTGTGGATTAGAAAAACGATAAAATTCATTGTTATCCTCAAAGAATATTATATTTGCAAACATTCTATTAATTAAAGATAAGCAACATATAGCCATATATTGCTTATCTTTAATTAATAAAACTCTATTGCATTAGTGAAACAGAGGAAAAAGGAAAATGAGACGAACAATGAATCTAATGGAAATAATCAATAATATGTGTAAAACGAATTTGAACATGCTCGAGTTTAGTATAAAATATGAATCGGACTGAGAAATTTTACAAATTTGCATCAACTTTAACAAATAAGATCAATAACAAAAGGAAAAATGTTTAATCTAGAATTGTTGACTGACCGATCTAGTTGACTAAAACATTGACTTTTAACAACAATTTCTTATTCATTTAGAATTAAAATGTACGATATTCATAGAAAAGTTAGTGATCAAATAAAATGATAATTTTCAATATTAAGAAGAATTATGAGAGAAGAATTATTCAAATTTTTGTATAACATGAACGAAATTAATAATCATAATGATACGTATTAGGTTAACTAGTAAATTTTGTCCAAACGTTTTTTGATAAATAAACTATTAAACATAGAATAAAAGATTGAGAAAATTGTCTGATAGAAACCTATTGTTGTTACATTGTGTTGTAATCGAGTTTGTAGTTTAAATCTCAAGTATACAGAATAGAGTAAAATTTGAAACAGCATATCGTAGAATATAGTAGAACAAAATGAAAATATATAAAGTAGGACATTTATGAACATAAATTTAACTTCCATATTCATCAATGGATGATCGTACTTCTATAATATCCCCTCCTCCATTGGTTTACCTCAGCTAATATTTAATCGCACGGTAATTTGAGTTATTAGAAAGATTTTCTCATACATTCACAGATATTTTTTAGCATTTTAGATTGACACTTCGATCGAGTGTCATATAATGAGATGTTTTCCTTACAAATGCCACCATATATATGAAACTGTACAATCATTTGCTATACTAAGGCTGTGTCAATTATCCAAGAGGGAAACAGCTGATTGAAATAAGCTCAAAATCAATTGATTTTCAGTGATTCTCTGTGATTTCTAATGGCTTGCAGTCATTTCCGGTGACTTTTCATTTGTTGAAAATCGATGAAATTAGTGAAAATCGAAAAAATCCAAAAATCAGCTGTTTCCTCCATCAAATTATCGCCTATAAGGGTACTACGTTCATAATTGGTCTTGATCTGAAACTTTAACATTTATATTTACTTACCATAGAAAATGAAATTTAATGAATGATTAGCATACTGCATTAGATAAACAATTGCTGTCAATGTTGGATGTGATACTTCTTCATTGGGATTTCGAAATAGAATTGTGGTTACAAATACAACAGGAGATACCAAAAGAAAATACAACAGATTTAAAGTAAATAATAAATAAAATAAACTTTTCGCTTTATTCGGAGTTGCACGTGTTGCACTATCGGCATATGTTCGTCTTGAACGAAAAAATCTTCGTTCTTGATAATAAACACGATAGACAATAAAAAATGTACCAATTATCATCACAGAAAATGGAACAACAGCATACATACAAACATCAAACCATTCCCATACCTAATAATAATACGTCAATTTAAAAAAAAGATATAAATTAGTGAATAGTAGAAAATAACTTACATGATCCCAAAAATATTCATAGTTACTTCCTTTAAGTGCTGCACATTTTCTTGCCCTCGTCGACATTGTTGATGATGTGATAAAGACAACTGTTGTTGAATTATAGATTGGTGTTGTTGGTAGTATAGATGATGGTGAATAAAATAATGTATTTGTATATGAATTGAATTCTCTAGTTGGAGATGTAAAACCGAATGGTAACGCACGTTTAGTCCTCGTATTATTTTTAAGTTTATTAGAAAAATATTTATAAATATTTGAAATAAATTTTGATACTGTTATTTGTTGTTGTTGTTCATTAATTGCTCTTTTTTCTTTAAATGAATTCATTTTTGGTACAATAAATTGTGGTGACAAATAATTACTCATTGTATATTGAAAATGTGTAGTTGAATCAGAATAATAAAATGATGATAACATAGTTTCTTGTGGTATTGTTGTTGTTGATGTTAGTAATGTTTGCTCGTTGAATTCAACATTATTCATGTCTAATCTAATGAAAATTAATTCATGAGAATTGAACAAAGCTGTCGTCAATAAAATAACACCCACAACATATTCAGCTGATTTTGGTGTACAAAATTTTCTTGCAAATTGTATCCAATTTGTGGCTATAGCACGATCAATTGATATGGCTGATAATATCCATGATGATGAATGTTGTGACCAATATGTAACAAATGTATGTAAACGACAAGTAATTGGTGAAATTTTTCGTAGTGAAAATTCACCATATTCAACTGTTAAAAATAAATCCAATAGACCACTATAAAGTACAACTAAATCCATTAAAGATAATAATGCCAAATAGCGAAATGTTGAAGATTTACGCATTGTACCCGTGGAAAATATGATGCATGAAAGAATATTGCCAAATGTTCCCACCAATAACAAAAATATTGCGCCATAACGAACGATTGTTGGATTAACAAGTTGTGAGGACGATGATAGGGAAGATGTTTGATCAGTCATAATCAATACAATAAATAAACATTGGATGTTACAATTCGTTCATCTTGAAAAAATGATGGATTATATCTAAATAAACAAAACAAAAAAAATAAAATATTAACTCTCTACATTCTTGTACAATGTCAAACATTACCCTTTTCTCTTCTTCTTCAAAGATCAAAATTACTTTGAAAAAAAAAAATTAGATTTTCTTCCAGAAGAATTACTTCAAAATTTACTCTAGTTACATTTAATAAAGTCTTAGAAAAATAATTTTTAATATGTATTAAAGAATAATCAACGAAAAAAAATTATGATGGTTATTTTATTCCTATCTTCTATATCAAATAACAGAAGAGAAAAAAAAGACGACATATCGTATTATTTCCGCTTTATGATAATCCTAGCCGTTTTCTCTATTTTAAACTAAAACATTTAATGTGATAGCAATTTTAAAGTAGCTTATGATTTACAAAAGTCTAAGCGGAAAGAACAAGGCGGAAAACAAAAAAATTTGCACTAAATATCAATTCTTTATTTGATTTTTCTTCTCTTAATATATATTTTCTAGCCGAAAAAAAAAAAAAAAATTGAAAATAGTAGAAGACAGATGGTTCCATTCTTTTTTTATTTGTAAGTGTTTGTATAACATTTAATCATTGGTAAGCAGCTGTACAAAAGAAAAAGACATCAGACATCAGGAAAAAAGTTTGCATTAATTATGAAAAATACGATATATTTTAATATATGTAGAATCATAAATGGGTTTAATGGTATCTCTTACTAGGATAAAGAATGTATAGGAATAAGAATATTTTCGTCATATTTAGAAGTCTATATCTACGTATAAATAAAATGTTTCTCTCTGAGATATATATTTTTCGATTTAGTTTTTCTCAATAACTCAAAAATTAGTAATGTGTCATAAAGTTGACTCCGTTTAGTTCATCAGAGAAAACCAATAACACTAATTTCATATTCTACTTCAAAACAGAAAGAAAAAAGAAAAGAAAAATAAGTCCAGTAGTCTAATCTGTAAACGTAACGTTATTACTAGTTTAATGAAAAAATAATTCGATAATTTTTATCTTGAGCAAAATGTCTTGTATGTGTAAGGAAGGAAAAAGGAGAAATCGTTTGTTTTCAACATGGAAACTAATGAGAAAATACATCTGAAATATGACACTTTCCAGGTTCATAAAAATAAGTCAATTGTTATCGCGTTTTGAATGATGATGTTGTTGGCAGTATTTATATGGAAATAAATGAAAAATCGACATTTTTTATACTTTTCTTTCCATCAGCGGGGAGTCAGGATTTATATTCCGATAAAACGATAAATTTTGGTATTAAAATCGATTAGCGTAGAAAAGTATGATGTCAGTACAAGAACCTGACTATACTATAACAAAGAATAAATTTCAATCTTATATATCTCAATTTTTCTTCTAACGACTTACTTGTCACAGACTCATAAAAAAAAGGCGTCATGAAAAATGAGTTTTACACTTCAATTTGGATATATAATTATGAATTTTTATTGACAGTGGTTAAGTGATTAGGATAAGTCGTACACAACAGATATAAAGAAAGATATTTTGTTAAGACATTTTATTCAATCATCATTAAATATTTATCTTTAACTGATAACAATGGAATATTCGATTTGAACTATAAAAAATGTCTTATATCCTCCCGCTGAGGATATAAAATCATATCCAAATTGGAAAATATATATTTAAAAAATATATTTTAATCATCACCAATAAATATCTAAAATTATCATAAATCAAGTCGAAAGAATAGTCCAACATCTTACACTCCTTTGAAAAAAAAATTGAATAAAAATAAAGCTAAACTATTTGATACACTACACGAGCATTTAATAGCATTTTGCTTACCTGGTGACTGAATTAGACAATTTTTCTTCATCTGAACATTATTAGTCTTTTAGATAATTTACCTGTCTTCATCGAGACAGAAACGTCATGTTCTGTCGAAATTTTGCTAAATAAAAAGTTTAGGTAAAAATAAAACTTTAAGATCGAGAATGGGCGTTCTTTCCGAATTAAATATAAGAGAGCGAACATCTTTTTCCGGACTTATTATTTTACTTTTTTGTTATAAAATACCGGTAAAGATGAAATTAACAAAAGAAAGAAGAATGAAGATCAGAAGGCGGCGCATTTCGTTCGTACCGATAAAAATTTGAAACGTTGATGAAAAGAGAAAAATAGTCCATATTGTTTTGAAATAAGAAAGTGTGAATAAAATTAACTCATAGATTTGAAAAGAGATGTTAACATAAAAGTTAATCAACATTTGAACACTTCATATATATTCTTACAAAATAGATTCCCATCATTAGATTAAAAAATTGAGATAAAATATCATTTAAATATAATATCAAATGTTATCCTATGGATGAAAAGAAAAAAAGAATGGGAATGAGAAATATATTGTCCGATGAGAAAAGAATAAAGTGCATGATTTCCGAAGTAGGAAAATACATTAATATACTGGAGTATGATTTCGAACAAAGAAAGAAAATATGACTTACATGTCAATAAGATTTTGATGAGTCGTACAAAACAGAAAATATGTATCTAACACTTTTTTTTGAATGCCATTAAAAAGGAAAAATGACGATATATTTCCATCCGTCTAATTAATTTCCTCATTAGAATAATTTCTCCGAACAACATGAACTACTATTTATTATTGTTTTATTGTTATACACCTTTATCTAAAATTAATAATGTGAATTCTTGTTCTTATTATAAAACACTAGATTTCTCTTCTTTTTTTTTTTAGTATATAAAAGAAAAAGGACGTGTTTCAAATAGATAGATAAGTCGAAATGTTTCAATGTTAATGGGTTTCCTTATATAAGCTAAAGACATTATTGTGAAATGAAAGTGATGTTAATGTTTTTATTTTTATTTTTGTCTCTTTTTTTTTTCTTCTTCTTCTTCTCTTCTTCTCTTCTATATACGGACATTGAACGATAGAAAGAGTTAAATATTAAAGGAAAATATTTTCTACTATATATTAAGAAAAGATTTTCTGATTCGGAAGGAAATATGCACAATTCAATGTCCGGGATAATTTAAGACTTTTTTTTTTTTTTCATATCAATTATGTGATAAAGCGGTTGATATACAAAACAAAAAAATAATTACTCAATGAAAATAAGAAAAATAGACAATAGAATGAAAAACGAAGAAAATTTGATTTTAATGATCACCGACCGTGTGACAAAAAATAAAAGTCTCGACCTTGACAAATAAAATTAGGATGGTTCATTAACCACTATAAGTAGTGTTAAATACGAAAAAGAAATATATAAAAAGACAATATTCTACAAGTACTATGGGGCGGGACTCGTGTTTTTCTTCCTTTTCCCAACTCTATTTTTACTTCTTATTTTAGAATAGTAAATTATTTTGCTGAATTTTTTTTTTTTTTTTTTGTCAAAATTTTACTAACCATACCCATTGATAAAGATGAATTGAAATTAATTTGAAAATATAGAGACATAATCAATAAAAATCAAAAATGAAAGAGAATAAAAAATATTTTATTTTTATTGACTAATATTAGTAAACAATAGGAGAAATTATGTTTCCAATTAACACTTTATTCAGTAAAATTTTAAATATAAATTAGAAAGAAAGTGTAGTAAACGAAAATATTTTCTTAGTAACTTCATCATATCATCGACAGAAAAATCATAGAGAAAAAGTTCTTGTTTTGTATTCAACATACTCGATAACCTAGAAGATTTTCTATTTTAGATAAGACCTATTGCTAAAAAAAAAAAAGAAATGCGTATTTATTTTCCCATTTTTTCGCTAGTTTATTCGAAAAAACAGTTTCCTAGAATTTTGACACTATTTTTCTAGATAATCTTTTGAGTTATTGTAGTATACTGAATATGAAAAAGTATATTTTTGCGTGAACTTTTATTTTTCTTCTTCACGTTAATATGTGAAAATAATGGATCAAAGATGTGAAACTTCATATCTTCCAATTAATTAGAGAATGACATTATGGAAAATAAATCATTGACATATAATATACGTACATTATCTGATTTAAGAGTGTTCTCGATGAAATCATTGAAGATGCCTGTTTGTCTAATATTATCAATTGTAAATAATTTTTCTTCAAAAAAAAAAAAAATAACATTAGAATTTCTAATATATTTTTTGATTAACAGGATGATCGTGAGTGAATAATAGGGATGTCAAATTTCCGTATTAAAATCTAGTAAAAAAACAACAAGAAATAATTAAAAATTGGAGAACTAAATGAATATACACGTACATATTGTCAACATTTTAAAATTCTCATTTTTTTTTTTTTTTTGTGTTTAAAAAATAAAGAATCTATATCTTGATTTTAAATATATATTTTACGAGAAAATAGAGAGACTCAAATATATATTATATATTCTCAAAGTTATAATTCTTCTTTCTATGACTGATTAGATCGAAAAATTAACTATGGTCATATGAAAAAGATAATTTTTCAAATTTTTGTCCATCTAAGTCAAAAATTCTTACATATCTATCCTTTTTTAAAGATATCTGATATTTATCAAATTTTAACAGTTTAAAAATTTAAAAATTCTTGAAATAAAACAGAAAAAAACAACAAAATATTACCCTATTAAAAAATGTCTTATGAATTTGTGATTAGAATTTTTTGAAACTATTTAAAACGTATGTTTATAGTTGGTTGAAATTAAATTATGTCGGATCCGTCAATACGACGTCCTAATAACATAAAGAACTTGATATTTCTATAAAGAAAATATTATAAATGAGATGAGTCGAGGAGATTTATTGTTTTGAAGAGAAGAAAAATAATCGAAACGAGATTGAGAAAGTAGTTTAAGAGGGATAAGTTAACTTTAAGCTATAATCTTACCCGAACTAAAGCTTCATTTAAGAATGCATGAAAGTAATTAAAAGGGAAAAAAAATTGTTTTTTCTTAACTAAAGTAGATGAGAGAT